AATGATAACATATAATATTTAACTAATGCTTTAAAATAAATAAATAGTTGTAATAGTCATTATTGTGTTCAAAACTATGAAAATCGATTTCAAATCGATTTCAAACGGTTGGCCTAATGTGAATGCATGTGTTGACAATGCGGGGGTTAACGTAACAATGACATAGTAGATGACACTTACGATTAGAAATTATTATCAAACAGCCAGGTATTAAAATAGTGATAATTAGTACAAAAATTTCTTTTAATGAAATAAAAATCTTTGTATTAAATGGATTAACATTAAAGATATTATGAAAGACATTAAAAGCATTAATTAATTTATCGAAAGATTGGACGACGAAATGAAAACAGTTTTCACTGAAATTTATTTTATAAATGTTTGATAAGAAACTACTCTTATATATAAATGATACCAAATATTTTTCAAAACTTTCTTTGGGCTGCTTTCTAACGAAACTCGACTCTTATTTATTTTATATAAACTGTGAAATAATCACTCAATTAGTTGATAATCTTATTGTCTTAAAGTCAAAAGCAATCGTCGAGAGTCGACGAGTTTATTAACATTTAATTATCCATTTTCTTAACAATTCAAAAGTGTATTTTGTTTTTTGTGTTCAAATAACTAAGAAATGAAAATGAAATTTTTTGCAGTCAATAATGTGGAAGAAAATGATGCAAATTATTGGAAATCCTTGTTTCGGGAAGTGTTGGCAGAATTTATTGGAACATTTATGCTTATGGTAAGAATGGTATTGTTGTAAAAGTGTGTTTTCATCATAAGTTATGTCAAATAAAGTTAATCGGATGTTCAGCCGGTGTGGCCACACAACAGAATCCACACAATGAACCCAATATTAGGGTCAATCTTTGGACCGTCAATATATGCTGGGGTTTCGGGGCTTTTGTTGGAATTGCCACCACTTTTAATATAACAGGTATTGAATTAAATTACTTTCAATTTTATATTGTTCAGCAAATATATTAGAATCTTGATAGTAATTGACATTGTTTGTTTTCATAGGCGGTCATATAAATCCAGCCGTTTCAAGTGAGTCCAGCATTTGATTATATTAAATAATGAATTAAATAATAGTAAATATGTAATTTAGTCGCAATGGCAACGAGAGGCAAATTTCAATGGAAAAAAGTGATGCCTTATATATTAGCTCAAATGATTGGCGCAATACTCGGTAATAAGTTAACTATTAATAGTTAATTGTTTTGATTGATTGCTAACTTAGCGCTTGAATTATAGGCACAGCGATTGTATATTACGTTTACATCGATGTAATTGAATTACAAAACGATCACATTTTGATACGAAATAATACCCAACTGATGACATACGGACATTATTTAAGTACCGGCAAATTTTTCGCCACATATCCTCAGGAATACTTATCACTATTTGGTTCTATTGTGGATCAGGTATCAGATTGTTTAAAATGATCGATATTTGTCTATAATGTTCATAAATGAATGTGTGTTCAGACCGTAGGAACGGCTTCTTTGCTCTTTGCTGTGTCTGCAGTGACTGATGACAAAAACTTAAATATACCGAAAGCTTTGCAACCATTTTGTTTGGCGTTTGTGATCGCAAGTCACGCCATTGCCTTCGGGGGCAATACAGGCGCACCACTAAATCCGGCCCGAGATTTAGGTCCCAGAATATTCTCAGCAATGGTTGTCTACGGGAAGGAAGCGTTTACGTATGATATAAAGCATCATTATTTTTGGTATCATTTTTTGCAATGCTTTTAATATGATAACAGAGCACTCGATGGCAACTACTGGTGGTCGGGAGGAGTTGTCGGCCCTATAATAGGGGCAACAATAGGCGTTTGGACTTACTTTCTATTTATTGAATTACCAAAACCTAAGGATAAGTGCGATAACGAAATGAACTCAAACGCCGATCCGATAGCGCATAGAAATATTAATTCAATTTATACTCTAAACGCAGATTTGGAGAGAAATAATCATATGGTTAAGAATCAGGTCTCATATGATTGACAAATATAGGATGCAATGTATTAATAATTATACCGTATATTATAAATGTGTTAATAATTATTTCATGTTATCTCATTATTTAATGCAATTGAATACTGAATTATAAATTGAATTTGATTTCAGTGGTGAAAATTGTCATTTACTATAGATTATTGGTCTAATGCCTAAAATTACTAGTTTTTAAACGAGTTAAACATTATATTATTTTAATTAAACGATAATAAATTATTACTAAATTTATTATCATTAAATTTACGATTAGTGTAGGACTCGGAAGTGACACGAATTGAAATGACATTATTCTTATAGATATGATGTATGAATAAATTCATTTATTTATAATAATTTATAATAAATGATTTATTCATTCATAAATTCACTTAAATAAAAATGTATATAAAAATAAACTTGGATAAATTTACAAATATCTTAATAAATTTGCAGATATTAAATTATTATATTTTATATTTAAAGTTGTGATTTATTAATTGAGTCATTAAAAGTAAAGCATAATAAATATTATTTTTATTACTATAACATGTTTCAATACTTAATTAAAATATGTTTAAATAATTAACTTTTCATTTTATAATAATCAAAGCATCGTATTTTAACTATAGTAACTATTTTAGCGGTTAATAGCATTAGCCTAAGAGTTGGTATGTCCACCGATCGTGCCATTAGGGTCATTTTAGCCAACTTTTATTTTAACTATAAATAACTATTTGAGGGGTAACTAACTATAACAACTCTTAACCAACTATTTGACCAATATGTGGAAAAATGGCCTAATTTTACTAGATTTGATAAAATAAATATCAAAATTGCTCTATAATTTTAAAGAATTAAAATTAATCTTGTTAAAATTGTCTGTAAACAGTATAATATCTTAGATAAACTAGTTTGATTGACAAATATTCTTTTATACTATTGTCATGTTTTAAACAATGCACACCATAAAACATTATAAAAATATTAAGATAGTTTTACGTAATTAGAACTAACTTTTAGACTTAATAGACTTAAATTTTTATAAATAACTCCGTTATTAATTCATAATAAATCATATTGTAAAATTATTATTGAAAATTTTTATCAAAATATCAAGATTTTATCAAAAATAAATAACTATTTAAGTAACTATTTGATGCATTTTTATTAACTATTATAGTAACTATTTTGTATCTAATAAACAACTATTTTACGATGCTTTGATAATAATAAAAATTTTGTAATTGTGAAATCGTGGTTAAAAATACGATTCCATCTTTAAATAAAAGATTAAGTTTATAACACTATTTTGTAGTGAGAGTCCTGTTTTCAATTTAATTAAAATGTTAATTAATTAATTTTTAAAATTATAGACCACATTATAAATATTAATTTAGCAAATTTTTTAAATTACTATAAAAATCGGCAAAACCTTTATTGCTATCATTTGGTGACAACTCGTAACGAGATATATAACAGACATAAACATTAAATATAGTATTAAATAATTTTAATTCATAAGTATTTTTATCAGTATTAAACAGAAATGGGATCCAAACAGTCTATGGAAAAATTATTTCCTTATTTTCAAAAACAACTATAAATGAAAATATTTGTCAAAAAAAAATCTTAATATAAATCTGTAAAAATGTCTATTAAATATACATTTATTAAATATATTAAAATCTTAGATGATAAACAATTCAATTGTAGAGAGAGAGAGAGAGAGAGATTAAATTGATAATTCAAATTCTATTGGTGACCATGATGGTTTTCCATTACCATTCTTAAATTCGGCTTTTTATAACATTTTTATTCAAAAATTTATCTATTTATGAAAGTACTCCTGTGAACAGTGGGAACAGTGATTGTGTAGCATAAAACTACTAGGTCAATTTAATCAATCAATATATCTAAATGTTTAAAGTAAAAATGATTTGATAACTGTTTGCAAAATTAACCAGGAGTGAAAAAGCAAAAAAGACGCTATCCAAAATTATATTCTGTTTGATATATTCTGTTATATTACAAACTAAATTATCCTTGCTTATTTTTGATATACAGACTTAAAAATTTAAAACTTTTGACAACAGAAAAATGAAACATTATTTTTAATGATAGAACATATGAAAATATGTAACTGTGAAATATCTGATAACTTATGGTAAGTTATTGTAAATTTAGCGTTATGTACATATTTTTCATACATTCGTCCCCTTAATATACCAAACAATTGAGGGTTTAATTAAAATTCAATCAAATTTTACTGTACATTAAATATGAGCGCCTTTAGTGTCGACCAATCAATTGGTGAGCACTTAAGGGAGGATTGAATTAAATGGGATTTGAGAGCCATTTGTTGAGAAAAAGTGTCAAAACTAATGATTTGATATGTGTTTAGTTGAAGAGTTGGCCGTAAATGGCATTACTTGTGAACCAATGCATGCATTCATGCATTGCCTGCCATTCAGTCACTCATTGCTAACAATCACAACAATAATCAATACTTATTGTCAACAATTGAGTGACAATTTAGCCATTGTTTGAGTGATTGAATGGTTCAGTGATCTGAAGAGGAATGGCTGACAGGACTGCAATCAGAGCAGAGTTGGAGAAAAAGAAACTTAAATTACAGCAATTGAAGGACGAAAAGGAGAGACGAAAGCGAGAGAAACAAAGCCAAGAGTCGGCCGAACGCACCGATGGACTCGTTTCGCAACGAAATATCGAAGAAGTGGATCAACTGCTCAGAGATGTCGGCATCGATCCCACCAATAGTGGTAATGATGTCAA